GACCACACAATCCCTATATTGTTACCTGGTGTGCCACTCATAAACTCCATTTGGATTAAATATTGGTTTATTTATTCAGTAGCATGACTTTTTATTGCTGTAAGTCATGACTATCAATAAGTACGGTAGAACTTAGTATATTATGAAACAGGTTGTTCTGCCCATACATTTTCAGATTTGTACGTTTCACTTTCAGTTTCCTGACATATCAGTCTGATCCCTATTGTCAAAAAGAGCACGTACCTAAGAAATGGCTTAAATTGCATAATCGGTAATTGAGAAAGTCAGTTTAAAAAAATTATTTTTGTTGTTGTTGTTAGCATATCTCATAAATCAAGAAAGATACGGAGATGAAACTTTGCACAAAGATTGGAATCCATGACAGGTCGTGCAAGAGCTATTTTACAATTTTGGTAGACAACAAAAAACAGCCCCAGGTCATACATTATGATAGGACCATAAAGTGTGCTAACTACATAGGTAAAGCTTATACCCCAAATGATAAAACTTTGAACACACATGCAACCAATCGTTGGTATCAACATTACAAGTTTGTAAACAACAACAAACAGCCTCAGGCAACAAAAACTAGTAAATGGTGTTTGTGCCTCTAACTTGCTTATTGTGGGTCCTCTAACAATAAAACTTGGTACACTGATGTACCATGATAAGAGTTCATCAAAACAGAAATTGCAAGTTTGTAAACACAACAAACACCTCAGCGCAATAAAAACTTGTAAATGGTGTTTGTGCCTATAAATTACTTGTGGTTGGTCCTCTAACAATGAAACTTGGTACACTGATTTACCGTGATAATAATAATAATAATACTCAGGTGGCTGTCATAGCACTAGGGCCATAGACCATGCACCCAGAGCAATGGGTGGAACCGTTAACAAACGAACATACACCATATGAACATGAGGTTCTTCTCACCTCCCCAGACACCTCAACTCACCCCTCCACCAGGGACACCCTGCAGCTCCCCAGACGCATCTGAGACTGGGTTTGTTGTACACGGCCGTATACCCTACCTTTCTTAGCTCCCAAACATCCAAAATAAATCTTTAACAGGCCAGCAAGAACCAAATTTATCCTCCCCAGTTCACTACCCAATATAGGATGCTTTCCTGAAACTATCAAGCGACTGGAAATGCTCAAACCCATCATCCCCAAGCTTCTCGTTGCAGGGCAACTAAGAAATTGCTCCTAAGACTACTATATGCTGACACTCCCACAACACGGACTCACACTTCACACTCATCATCACACAACAGGCACTCCTTCACTCACTCCCCCTCATGTCACTACCCAGTTTTTCCCGCATTTGAGCCCATGCGTGCCTGACCTGAACTTAAACATTAATTAGACCCCCGTGTCACATGTCACTTTCCCTTCAAGTACTTAATTTTAACTCTAGAACCAAACACAAAGTTGTTCAATGTCCTTATCCCAAAAAAAAAACACGGATGACGGAGACAAACTCTAGTCAACGAGCGAGAAAACGTAGAGGGAGGACCGTGACTGATGTGCGGATACCGCTGGAAACCGCCGAGTTAGGAGGGAAATGGTGAGAATGCCATTTCGGGCAAAGCAGATCCACAATAGACCAACCGAACCACCCCAAACTCCGGGGACGAGGGTTCTAAAAGAGACGGGGACTAGGCGGGAACCGAAAGGAAAAGTGGGCCATCGGTTGGAAGGGAACGCTCACCCCACCCCAAAGTGGAAACCAGGGAATAACCCCAAGGGTGAGCGGACATTAATAGCGTATCATAAGGTCAAGGGGACGGGGAATTAACGTGAGAGCGGCACGGCGCGGTGAGAAAAAACGAACCCTAACGTATTGGAAGAGGAACGGACACGACGCTGATTGAGTAATAACAGCTTCTTTTCTATGTAGCCCCTCTTCAACTTTCTAATCTCCCTTTCATTCATACTGTCCCCTATTATAGACAGAAAGCCCTTCAAGGAGCAATCCCCATTTTGAATATCATGCAACCACTCTGCCTTGTCAAGACCTAATGACGAAAAGAGATCATCAATGACCTTACTCCAACCCTTCCTCTGCCTGCCTCTCCGTGGCTTAAAATTCCATTCCTGATTAAAAGCTTCTTCGGATACCTATTGCTGGCAATGCCGCTAACTTATACCACCACTCAACTATTCTTATCCTACGCCCCTTGTAACGTATCAAGCCCCATATCCCCCCTAACGGCTTCATTACATGTCTTAGACGAAAACCCAAGAATGCGCTTAGCTCCTCCCAGCATAACGGACTCTAACGATGAGCACAAGCATTATCTGTGGATTTACCATGATAAGTGTTCAATTACAATGTTGTATACAACAAGAAACAGCCTCAGGCAAAAAACATTTTTAAATGGTGTTAGTGCCTATAACTTGCTTATGGTGGGTCACGGCTGTTTCAACGCGCGCACGAAGAAAAATTGGAAATGTGCGCGCGCCGCCCCCGGAACGCAATTGGACACGCCCCCTCCGTTTTGAAAAAGAAGCGGTACCTTCTGGATACCGTTGGCCGTCCAGAGACCATACTATGGGGCCGAACGTTTTCAACACAAAGACGGTCCATGTTTACAGTCCCTATAGACACTGCATTAGCGAAGCTACATGTGCAACGCCAAGCTTACCATGGGGGCACTTTCGTCGGGATTCATGTGCATAAACTGCTCAAGGTACACACATATATACACTACGTTCACATTTAGGAAGAATCTGCTGATGTGTTGTGCTCTGGTATTGTGGCCATAGTTGAAGAGAAGTGCCCTGAACTGTTGCAAAAGGCCAAGGACACATACAAGTGCTTGACTGAGGTACTTACCCAGTATGCCAAGTGCCACAATGTGTTCAATGGAGGGGTAGTGGACAGCATCGCCATTGATTGACTTGGTAACAGAGAAATTCGAATAGTACACTCTAGAGAGAGACACAGCAGCTTTCATGGGAGCAGTACAGGGAGGAGTTTCCCACTGCAACAGTCCTCCCCAAAATGCACATCCTGGAAGACCACGTTGTGCCATGGATGCGGCGGTGGCACATGGAAACAAGCTAAATAACACATCCCATTGGGTGGCATCTACCGTGGCACAAAAAATAAGTATCATCATACTTCCCACAGTTCTTGGAAAGTAGCGGGTAGTTCATTGTGATGGCAGCTTCCTCGCTGGCCGAAGCACTTCTGGACTTGAAAAACACAGCTATGTACCAGCGAAAGTCTCGAGTTCATGATTGGGAACGTATCTCAGGTATAGTTCATCGGACGGTCGTGATTTTTGGACCGTCTCGTGGCTCGCACCGGGAAGAGTCCGAGTTCCCCACTTGCGCATGTTCTATACGCACGCGCATACCTCAAAAGGCCGCTAGTAACGTAGCGGAAGTCGCACGCGGAAGCCCGTTGCCATGCGTAACAATGACGTGTATATTTTTTGGGGGGCGTATCTTAATGTCCGCGCGCGCATTGCGGGAAACGGCCGTGGGGTCTTCTCACAATCAGGTGTACTGATCTACAAGAAACATAAAGTCTGAGGCGATAGCTTAAGGCCCACTAATGTTACTTTTTTTTATGGGCTTATGCTCATAATATCCTCTTTTTATTGCACACCATGCATGTGAATGCAGTAAAAAGCAAAGGAGACAAGTCAATAAAAAAAATTGAAAAATGGTGAATATACGTATGGATAGTATAAAAAACAAGGAGACAAGACAGGGACGACCTGCAGTAGGATGATGGCTACATACTTCGAACTGCTCGTGTAAAATTTCCTCCAAATATTGTCGCGACCTTTACTCACTGACATAACCAAGTAGATGGTATTACTTGTCTAATGTGCTTATGAAATGAATCATATATAGCTGTGCATGATACAAGGGAGCACACTCATACTTCGCAACAATACTACTGTACTCAGTGATGCAACAGAAAGGCCAACCCCAAACCACTGTGCTATGGCACAGTAACTCTCACTCAGTACGGTTCTCCTTCTCCCTAAAAGAGTCTTGATACGAGGCAAATGGAGTAGAAAACATATGACAGACACTTTAACAGACGTACAACTCTGCCTTCTCTTCTCTCTTGGCTTTCTCCTGAGCAGCTCGCTCCGCCTGGGCTTCCTGGCTGAAGGCACTTCCCTCTACGTAGTCCTCGCGGATGCCAAAGGCATTCCTCAGCTGCTGTTTCTTGGCCTCTGAGGCCTCGGCCATCTGGTGGGAGTCACTGGAGAATGGGTCGATGGGGCGTGGCTTGCTAGAGAGGGAGGCTCGCAGGGCCCTCACCTCCTCAGCCACCTCCTCCTCCTTGTACCTGAACCATAGAGACAGTGTGTGGTTACAAAAGATGATGTACTACAAATTATTGGTGTGCATGCTGCAGCGAAGGTTACATAATAAACTTGGTCTGTCGGTCCAGTCCGTACATAAGTCCTTTTGTCTGTCAACATGTCTTTTTCTGCCGCCACACGCAACAAAGCACCCACGAAGTGATACCAACAGGTTAAACCGAGCATACGTATATACACCCTACACAATGTCCCACATCACCTGCATAAAGTGTAAAAATGTCTCGAACAGTACGAGAAGTAGAGAAGTGTTCCACTCTGCCCACTAAGTACGGTAGCCTCTTGATGACACAGGTTGTCCTGTATTATGCCCATACATTTGAGATTTGTACGTTTCACTTTCAGTTCATTGTCAAAAAAGCATGTAATGGCTTAAATCACGTAATGAGTAATTGATTTATTCAAGAAAGTCAGTTTTAAAAATTGTTGTTGTTGTTGTTGTTGTTCAATTTAGACAAGTGTATCTCAAAAAAACCAAACTTTGCACAGAGGTTGGAATCCATGACCCGGCGTGCAATACGTGGTATTGTTTGTGGAGCAATTGATGGCTCGTGAAGTGAGATGTCGTGCAATGGACTGACTGACTGACAGACACACATCTGGCAAAAACACAGTTATACCTGCTTTGGGTGGGTCCAAATAAAACCTGGTACATTGATGCCGTCAGAAGCAAAAGCTAAGGCCACTTTTTATGGGCATTATGCCCCAACATGTATCCCTTTTTTATTGCACACCATGCATGCGAATGCAGTAAAAAAGGAAAGGAGACAAGCAAATAAATATTCTTCGAATAAAAAAAAAGGTGAATATAGGGATGGTATAAAAAGCAAGGAGACAAACAGGGATGACCTAGTGAACATGATGCAGTAGTACAATGGATGATGGCTACATACTTCGAACAACATTGTTTGCTTGTGTAAAGTTTCCTCCACACAAGCCCTATATTGTTGCCACCTTTATTCACTGACATGAGTTTGTTTAGTCAATGGTGTAAAGTGCGAGGACAATGGTAAGGAAATTCTGTAGAGGTCAGGATTGTAACACTGGTTAGTCTAGCAATGTGACTTCACTCATAACCGAGGAGAGGGCATTAGCTATACCTGCCTTTGAAATTTTTATTTACTTGTTAGCCCCCGGCGCGCATACACAGCGAGGGTTGCGGTAGTTGTTGTGTGTGTCTGTCAGTCAGTCAGTCCGTTCCACGACATCTCACTTCACAAGCTATGTACTAGCGTGGAAATCACGAGGAAACGCATACTCTTGGCCCAACCCATCAATTAGCGGTACTGCACATGCACAGTTTGCCGAGGGTTTGCACTTTAGTGCTTTTTCATTTATTCAGGGATTGGAAAACGAGCGATATACATAGCCGTGTAATCAAGTCCTGGTTTTGCTAGACCATCTCTCCACATGCATCTTGACGTTGCGCAGCAGAGGAGCTAAGGCTAGACTGCAATGGTCTTTCCACGAGAGCCTGACAAGTCAACAATAGACTTACACAACAGAGCAAGTGTGCTGCAATTCAGGCCTCGACTCCGATTAGCTGATGTAACATGCAGCACTAGAACACCCAGTTTGTGTGCCCAGCCATAGATAAATGAAAAGCACTAAAGTCAAACGCTTGGCGAACTGCGCATGCACGGTACCGACAATTTATGGTGTGGGCTATCATGTTATGCATCTCCCACTAGCAGCTCGCGGAGACTCTGACACGGACCAGCTACAGTAGTAGATAGCATGCAGGAGTCGATAGACACCCTAAGTTGTGACTTCTTGTGCCTTAGATATTACACAGAGCAAGTGGACCCGGTCAAGGAAAGCCTGTGCTAATTAACCTATTGGCTTGTTAACCTGGTTTTCACGCCATAAATCTCTAAAACGCAGTACTTTTACCAAACTCCCCAAATTCAAAATAAAAGCCTGTGTAGCACTGAACCTTTTTGTATCGCTATTTTGTTGTGTCGTTGCGCGTGGTGGCAGACAGATGAACAGACACACAAACTAACGAACCAAGTACTGTAACCCTCGCTGCGTATGCATGCCGAGGGTTAATGAGTCCCCGCACACAAACAGTAAACTGCAAACTGTAAGCATGTTCCATAGTCCTAACCCTTGTTCTTCCAGTTTCTCCTGCAGCTGCACACACTCCAGCTCTATCTTCCTCTTCCACTCATGCTCTAGTATCTCCTTGTTTGGCTTCCTCTGGAGGATTCGGTCCAGCTTGGCAATCTCTGCATCAGTCTTGTAGTTGACTTTCTCTGGCCTCGAGCGGAGGGTGGCCAAATTCCGCTGGACAAAGCCGTTTGTGCCAGAGCCACGAGGAGTATTGAGTCCTATACCATTGTACATGGCTGCAGTTCACCTGGGACAGATTGCAGAACTTCTTCACGGATGCATGGGCGTTAAAAAGAAAATCGGCCATAACTTTGCCCATAACCACCACAAACACGGAGATTTACCAACAGCCAACAACCCCATTTATCTAATGCTATTATTGTACTTGGAGAGTGTCCCTTACCTTAAAGACTTCACTGACTTGCGCTGCGAAAGAGGAATGCCAGCATCCAGCTTTGGTATAATAATTAATTATACTTTGCACCACTGCCCGCCCCCGGCCGACTATTTATACAGAATACAGAGCCGCGCACACGCGGCCCAAAGCAGGGAGTTTCCCTTTTGTTTATGCGCACGCGCACATTTGAGTATACACAAGTCAAAAAGTAAATTGATACGCCCAAATTGCGTGGGAGGCACTGTCGCAAATCGTGGAATTGCGCTGCTAGACGGGTCCCTAGGCTAGCGCATGGTCTTCCGACGCCCACCTCTTTGGCACCTGCACAGCAGAATTAGAGTAACGAAGCTTTGTATATCGCGCTTTTTACGCCCCTTTTTGGCTCTGGGCATGCGCAGTAACGCCACAGCTTGACGATTTTGCAGGAAATGAGCTCTTAAGATCTTACGGGAAATTGTTATTGCCTAAACTTAGGGGGTGCGGTCTGAATGACACGTAACGGTGGTGTGGTTTCGTTTTCAAAAGCGAACGTACGGATCGTTGTTTTTCCCCGCAGAGAGCAAGAGAATGGATTCCTCAAGGTCTTTTGGTGAGTACTATATGCAGTTAGTGCATAGCTGATTCGAATCGACCAATCAGATTTGTTAGTACGAGGTTCCTGATTTCTCATATGAACCTCGTGAGCTAACAAAAGTAACATGAAAACATGATATGAAACCTTGTTTTTTCTGTTGATTTTGAACAAGTTCAACAGCATTTCATGTAGGAAATGTATCCCGCAAAACATGATCTGTACAAAATGTTGATCAAAATAACTGATATCTAGATATTTTTTTTCCACGAGACAGTTTTCTGTGTCTGCTTTGAGCCCATCTCCTTCCTTGCTCACGCCCGCCCACAAACCACCGCGCCACACGCAAATAAGGGGGTGGGGCACCGCGAGCGAGTGCGCGCGACAAAGCTACTAAAGGCGAACGCCTTCGGTATAGCAGCCCGCACAGCGCCTGAATTCTCCACTCTCGACTCTCTCTGATTGCGATGGCTCGCGCAGGTCTCCTGTCGCGTTTCTTCGGATGAGTGGCGGAGGACAGTCCCGCAGCGGGAGTAGCTAGAGCGGCGGAGCAGCGTATCCTAGCGATCGGCGTTCAATAGTCCCGCACGGGATGACGGTCTTGCGCTCTCGTCTCTTTCTCGCATCTTTCTGCTTGTAAACGCGGCTGTGCGCGTATACGGAGCTGATTTGCTCTGCACTAAACATGTTATGTACTCCGTATACTCGGGACATACCGGATTTCAATGAACCCTCATGCCCTCCGCGTAGTGCCCTCGCTGCGCTCGGGACACTACAAACGCGGAGGCCCTCGGGTTCATTGAAATCCGGTATGTCCCTCGCACGTAGTACATAACATCTATTTTTACCTGCGTAGATACCGCGCACATATGCTACCACGCTGTTCGCGCAGTTTACGTGTGTGTATGCTGCTGGGTTTTGTCCCACGTTGACTAGCGCTCGCTGCCCGCTGTGTTCCTTTTGTAGCCCTGTGTTCATCTTGTTGCTTTATGACCCTAAGCATTCTCGCGCTGATCCAGAGTCTTTGCCCTGTGGAAGGCCCTTTGTAGGCCCAACATTCCCCATGCCCCACCTATACTAAGAAGTGTCAAGCTGGCTACTGCCGTAAGTTTCCCAGACACAGAAACTCACTGGTCCAATTTAGCTGCAAGTATTATACGTAGCTTGCATACATAGTCATAGTTATCTTTCCCGTCTTATTTTGAGATTATATTACCTTTCTGCTTTTCTTCCATTTTATCCCCCCCATCCCCTCCTCCTCCTCTCCTCCTCCTCTCACAAATATCCACACTCCTTTAGTAGACATGTCTTTTCCCTCACATGCTTGATAAAAGTACGAAATGTACGAAACCGTCACTATGCATAATCAGGGTATTCAGGATGGTTAGCAAGCCCCTCACTGCCTTGATGTATAAGGTACAGGTTTCCAAGATATTTACACCTACAGCCCATCCGACACCAATAAATTATGTGTATATATAGCCTATTGTATTTACACACATAGTGAAGAAAATCATACCTGGTGTGTTTACCCCCACATGTTAGCCCCTAGTAATCTTTTTACAAATTGTCAGATCTTGTGTTAGGTGTCCCCTAATTATGAAATGTGTCTAAGGTATAAACCCCTAAAACTTGGCCTGTCCTTTACCTAACATGCTAACATGTTCGCCCAGGATGCTTATTACCCTCGGCGCGCATGCGCAGCGAGGGTACTGTAGTTGGGTTTGTCTGTCTGTCTGTCTGTTACTCTCAATCTCACTTCTCGAATGTCTGTTCGTCTCACAAACGATACGACCTGCTTAACGGGCAATGAAGGTCAGAAAATAAAGGCGGTTTTCACTAAAAATGCTTCGTTGCAAAGCTAGAGCGCTTCCGCCATTGTACGGCTAATGCTAGTCGGCCATTTTTATCGCTGCGGAAAATGCGCATGCGCTTATATTTTGAACAGGCTCGGGTCCGCTTGCTCTGTGTACCTTGAAGGCACGAGAAGTCACAACGAAGGGCGTGTACCGACTCCCACATGCAATCTACTACTGTAGCTAGCCAGTGTCAGACGCTACTAGCGCTAGCAGCCCAGCCCATCAATTAGCGGTACCGCGCATGCCCAGTTCGCCGAGGGTTTGCACTTCAGTGCTTTTCATTAACCCTCGGCGCGCATGCGCAGCGAGGGTTACTGTAGTTACCCTCGCGCGCATCGAGGGGGTCTGTAGTTGGGTGTGTGTGTGTCTGTTACTCTACATCTCACCTCTCGAATGTCTGTTCGTCCCAGAAACGATACCATCTACCCAACGGGCGACGAAGGTCAGAAAATATGTGGGGTTTTCTCTGAAAATGCTCCGTTGCAGAGCTAGAGCGCTTCCAGCATTGTATGGCTAATGCCGTAGTCGGCCATTTTTATCGCTGCGGAAAATGCGCATGCGCTTATATTTAGCAGGCTTACCTCGACCGGGTCGCGCTTGCTCTGTCTATCTTGAAGGCACAAGAAGTCACAACGAATGGCGTGTATCGACTCTCGCGTGCTATCTACTACTGTAGCTAGCCCGTGTCAGACTCTCTGCGAGCTACTTCGCCGAGGGTTTGCACTTTAGTGCTTTTCATTGGGTCTGTCTGTCTGTCTGTTTGTTTGTCTGTTTGTCTGTTAGTCTACATCTCACTCCTCGAACGTCTGTTCGTCCCAGAAACGATACCATCTACCCAACGGGCGACGAAGGTCAGAAAATAAAGGCGGTTTTCTCTGAAAATGCTCCGTTGCAAAGCTAGAGCGCGGAAAAGCCAATATGCAAATACACAACGGCTTACCACAGTCGGATCGATCCGCGTGATCTGCGTACTTTGGAGGCACCAGAAGATGCAACGCAGGGCCTCTCGCATGCTATCTAGTAGTGTAGTTCGCCCGCGTCAGACTCTGCGCGAGCTGGCAAGAGACCACGAGTAACAGCTAGAACTAAACCCAGCCCATCAATTAGTGGTACGGCGCATGCGTTTACTTACGCGTGCGCGTCATAGTACGCCGAGGGTTTGCACTTCAGTGCTTTTCATTTATACAGCATTCTTCACGTATAATTTGAGTATTCAGAGTATAACTTACTAATCCTTTATTTTCCCTCACGCGCTGTAAAAAGGTACGAAAGCAATCACCAGACGTAATCAAGCTATTCCGAATGAGTAGTTACCCCGTCCTTTCTCTCATGTGCTGTGTAAAAGTACGAAAGTAATAATCAAGGTATTCAGAATGAGTAGCTACGTACCCTATCTTTCTCCTCACATGGTGTGTAACAGTACAAAAGTATTTACGACATGTATTTTGAACGAGTAGCTACCTTGTCCTTTCTCTCACATGCTGTATAAAAGTATGAAAGCATTTATGACTTGTAATCAATATATTTTGTGTAAGTAATAGTAAGTAATTCGCCCTTATTGCATGGGAGGCATGTCCGCAAATCGTGGAATTGCACTGCTCAACTACTCCCTGCACTAGCACATGGTCGTCCGACGCCCACCTCTTCGGCACTTGCACAGCAAAACTAGAGTAAAGAAGCTTTGTATCGTGATTTTCATGTCACTTTTTGGGTCTGGACATGCGCAGTAACGCCACAGTTCAACGATTTTGCAAGACATTGATGTGGAGGCGATGTGTCTTTTTGCCTAAACTAAGGGGGTGCGGTCAAAACCGCATGTGACAACACTCTCAAAAGAGAACCTATGGTGCATCGTTTTTCCTGCAACAGTGCTAGAGATGATGGATTCCAGTTTTATATAAAGTTGTACCTGCAAGGATACCGTGCGTATTTGTTGCCGCCGCGGTTTACACGCGTGTGTACGCTACAGGGTTTTGTCCTGTTGGCTGTAGCTGCTTGCTGTGTTGCTTGTGTACCCTGTGTTCACCTTGTTGCTTTACTCCCCTGATCATTCTCGCGCTGATCCAGAGTTTTTTTACCCTGTTGAAACCGTTTTTTGTCCGCTGTGTTCTAGGAGTTACCACAATAGTGGCTTCTAAATGGGAGTCATATGTATGCCACGTGATTTTGCCTGGAATGCACTAAGCATCCCCCTAAAGATTTGCAAGCTGGCTACTGTGGTTTGTGGTCTGTGTCTTTATTATTACCCTCGGCGCGCATGCGCTGCGAGGGTACGGTAGTTGGGTCTGTCTGTGTGTGTGTGTGTTACTCTACATCTCAATTCACGGGTGTTTGTTCGTCTCACAAAGGATACGACCTACTTAACAGGCAACGAAGGTCAGAAAATTTGTGGGGTTTTCTGTGAAACTGCTCCGTTGCAAAGCTAGAGCGCGAAAAAGCCAATATACACATACACAACGGCTTACTACGGCATGGTCGATCCGCGTGCTTTGCGTACCTCGGAGGCACCAGAAGTTGCAACGCAGGGCGGTTTTCGCCTCTCGCATGGGATCTAGTAGTGTAGTTAGCTAGTGGCCGCGTCAGACTCTGCGCGAGCTGGCAAGAGACCACGAGTAACAGCTAAAACTAAACCCAGCCAATCAATTAGTGGTACGGTGCATGCGTTTACTTACGCGTACGCGTCACAATGCGCCGAGGGTTTGCACTTCAGTGCTTTTCATTATCTTGGGAATAAAGAAACCTAAACTTTCCCTCCACCAACACTGCATCTGCTTGCTTTTGCCAGTTCCCAGATCCTAAAGAAACAGTCTGCACAAAGGTGCACCTTTTACATGTGGTTGCAAGGACTTTACACACATAGTCATGACTAAGTATACACAAAGTGCGCAGACATATACACCTCGCGCAGTAAATAACATTGCATGAGGATGATAAGCAAATTCCGTCACTCTCTTCTACACATGCGCGAATGGAGGGGCTGGGTGCGGTGTGTGTAAACGTTGCATTGGAGAGTCTGCTGTGTGAACAGTGATGGTAACAATATATTATGATGATATTAGTGACTGCTTTATAATTATCTTTAGGATCTGAGTGTCCAAAAGATTGTTCAGAGGAGTCCGGAGGGAATGTTTGGAGGGTGTTACTATGGACTGTTGTGAGGATGATTATCTTCATCATTTTGTTAGTTCTGAGGGTGAGTCTTCGGACAGTTGAGAGAGTGAGTGTGAAGTATCAAATCCTGATGACTCACTGTTTATTCCAACACCTGAACGTCGTGGTATGGCTCAGGGTAAACCAAGTCCGATTGACTTGCCCAATAAGTTATGTTTTTTTCCATTGCCTCAATTAGGCAAATTTTGGATTCAATAAATGAATTAAGGAGCTGTAATACTCCTGGATGCAGGGGTGATTTAGCTCCTATCAGTGTAAAGAGTCAAGGGTTGGGAGGTGGAGTTTCAGTCAGTGTTTGTTGTACTGGCTGTGGTATAAAAGGTACGATGTTTGAAACACATGTAAATGGACCTGGAAATACAAATGTAGTGAGCAAGTGTGTCCAGGTTGCTTTCATTGTTGCTGGTTGTACTCATGCAGTGTACTACAAAATTCTGAAAAATGCATTAGGCATTGACGCTATTAGTGAACCAGTTTTTATGGATACAATTTATAGCATGTATCCCATAGTTCAATCAATGCTTGAGGAAATGTGTGAGACTGATAAAAAAGAGCACGAGCTCGGGTCATGGAAACGTGCTGTAACGGTTGCAGATGGTACGTGGCAAACGCGTGGCTGGCATAGCAAAAATGCCACATTCACCATCAGGAACTACCTAAACGGGGCTCTCCTCTATTATCACCATCTCTGCCAGAAAGGCAGTGACAATGTTATAGAGGAAGAGTTGTACAAGGGCACGTCCAAGTCAGCCGAAGGGTATGCTGCCCGCCTGACATTTCGTAGGGCCAAAGAGGAGGGAATGCAGGCTGCCGTCCACTGGCAGGACGCTGACTCCTCCTCGGCCAAGGCAGTCAGTGATGTGTTTCCTGATGCCGAAATAATGATCTGTGGCGGACATGCTGGGCGTGCCCACAAGAAAATTCTTGAATTACGTCACAAAATGGAAAAAG